GGTCTCGAACCCGCGGGCTCAGGCAATCCACTCACCTCAGCCTCCCAAAGGCGCAGGATTACAGGCTGAGCCACCAAGCCCGGCTTCGTTTTTATATATCTAAAATTGGCTTCATTTAGTTCCTACTTGTAAGTAGTAATTTAACAAGGTATACAATTTTTGGTTTATATTTACTCTTAATATATTGAAGACTTAATTTCATTATATTTTGTCTTTCAATTTTGGAAAGTCTGTTATGTTTTTAGAATTAACTCCCTCTAGACAATCTTTTTCTTTGATGGCTTTTAAGATTTTCTCTAACTTTCTGTGATGTAATCTCAGCACCATGTGTCTAGGTGTGGTTTTCTTTTTAGTGACTTTCTTTAGGAGTTTATTGTTTCCTGAATGTGAGGATAAAAGTTCTAGGCCACTTCAGATATTCATATTAATTTATTATCCTCCATTCTCTATATGATCATCTATACCTGCTAGTAACATATTGAACATACACATTCTATTCTGCATGTCTCTTGAAATGTGGTTATTTTTTTTTTCATCTGTTTGTCTTTCTGCTGTGCTCCATAGGATTCTTATGTGCTCCCACTTCATGGATTATATCATCAGCCATATCTAATCTACAGTTTTAATTTCAGTGACTGTATTTTTTTATTTCCACAAGTTCAGTTTCTTCCTTTTAAAATCTCTCTTTGCTATTTTGATAGTATCTACACTTTTTTCACATTTTATCTTTTGTTTCTTTAGTCATTTTAATACTTTTGTTCTACATATGGTGATCCCAGAATCTAAAGTTTTTAGATGTCAATTCTGTCACCACTATTGCATCACCACTATTTTTCCAATTTCAGCTATCACTTTTGCGAGACATTGATTCTAACATAAAATTCTCATGAGGGAATATAGATTTACTTCTACATTTTGATTGAAAATTATTACATTTAACTAAAATTTTACAGTTGCTCTTCAAATAAAATCAATATATCTTTTGACAGATAATGAAATGTGTCTGTTCTTAGATTTGTAAAATTAAATATTATGACTAATGTAATCATCCCACATTCACTAGAAAAAACATCATGGAATCCGTTTTTAAAAATGTAATTTGTAAAAAGTACTGAAGCATTGAGCACATGTTTATTAACTATGTGTAAAACAGTCTGAATCACCTCAGCTACTATTTTTATTTTAGATGCAAGTATAACACTGAAACCTTGACCATTGAGCAACTCTGTAGAACTAACTTACCATTGATAAAGACAATATAGATAGAACAGGATGAGGGAAGAGGAATGGGTGAAGCCAGAAGCTCATATTCATACAGAAATAACACATTATGGCATGAGGAATTTCACTACTCACTAATATGCCTCGGCCGGGAAGCAACAGACAGTCCTGGGGTCAGGACCTCTATCCTCATGCCTCAGGCATGCGCTGGCTGTGGAGGTCCTCTCTTTTCAACTGCTTTTTATATTTCCACTCACTGGTCTTTTAAAGAGAAGTTGATGTTTATTGTGTCTGTTTTTCCCTTATATACCAGATGGGAGAGACATCTGTACAGTAGGATGACTCAGGGCCCTGTGGCCCCTCTGGCAGCATCCTGTGTTGGATACTGTAGCAGATGTTATGGCTGGAACTAGAAATCATGGTCAGCCTGGATTCAGGCTTAGTACATGGGGGGAGGGGCAGGAAAGCTGGCAAGTTGAGAGCTGGACAGTGAATAAGGCAAATGCCAAAGGAAAGCTGGGAAACTGATAATATCATTTCACAATATATCAATTATTTCCTAAGCCAATAACAATGCTTCTAAATTTTATAGTAATAATATAAAAGACCAGGAGATAATATTCATCAGAAACCAAATGCCATGCAATGAAACATAAAAAGCTTCAATTTGTTCACAGATGATCTTTTTTTCTTTTTGATAAGTTCATTTTTTTTGTAAAATAGAAAGCATTACTGCAATTCAAATTATGTTTAAGTGGTAATGATTTTTTTCCATTTTCCTCTGCCTATGCCAGATGTAACAAGCGGCATCAAGGTTTTCCAAAAGGCAAATACTAATTCTTATGATTACTAAATAAAAATTTCCAAATGTTTCCAGAATTGTTGTAAGCAAAAGTTATTTTTAATGTCACATATGGCTATAGTTTTCCTAAATCAAAATAAAGATGTAATTTAACATTTATTTTAGAAAATAGATTTTAACCTTATAAAACATAACCATTTTTAAAGATTTTCTACATGGCAAAACAAAATTTGAAGCTTAACATCAAAAATACTGCAGTAATACAAACCAAATAAAAGGGACTAAGATATCTTAAAACAAAATTAAATAGAAGGTGAATCTGATACTGTGATTTATTACATGTAGTAATAGATAGAAAAATTCCAGTCAATATAGGCATGGCATATTTGAGGGTTTTGGAAATATAATTGTTGTTTCACATCCATTTCTTTTAAAAAGTTGTTTTGTGCAGTTATGTGAAGTCATGATCTCTTTAATAAACTGAGTTATTTTCAAATTTGATTTTAAAAAATAATTTAATAACATCAAGTGAGAACAGGTTTTTTTTTATATAGTCAATAAAGATTGGATGGGAGTTAGAACTCTGGCAAAATATAAAGTACAACCAACATATTGATGTAGGGGTTGAAAATAATTTACAAAATTAATTTAATAAAATGCTTAGAATAGTAACTGACAATTATTAACAAAACAGCAATGAAGCTGTCTGTATTTTCACTTAACAGTTCATTTAAGGCAAATGCTGAATTAATATAAAAATAATATGTGGTAAACTGATATGACATAAGATACAACAAAAATTAATGTCCATGCTGAAGACCTCAAGTGGCGACATCTCTATATGCTTTCCCAATACCCTAATTTCTCAACTATGTGGAGCCCAGCGCATTGTGGCCTACTAAGATGTCAATCAGAATGCCCAGAATGCTTAATACACAGCACTACATTCTCCCTACCATATCAGGCAAAATATTTAGTATACTTAGTTTAACAAAAGGCTCATACTAACTCCAAACTACAGTAGGGTTTTTTTTTTTTTATTTCTAGTACTAATTCTGGTTCTAAAAGATAGCTACTGTGATATTCCAATTCTCACGCTGTTCTTGAAAGGAACAATATGTTTATCTGGAATGTTTTACTGTAATTCACCCTTAAAGTTTACTCTATGTGAGAAAGTTTTATCCCAAAAAAATTTACTATTTGTATATGTCAAGATTGATTCGACTGTATTTTGTAGAATAAGCATAGACTTGGATATAAAAATGGGTTTCAATATTTGACTTTACACTGTGACTCCGGGAAGGTCACACAACATTTCTGAGCCTCAGTTCCTGAATTACAAGATGAGAACATGATGACAGTCCTCAAAGAAGAGCATGGAGTTTAGAAAGGGCTAGTGCACACCTCACACAGGGCTAGGAGTGTGGAATGCTATAGGTGTTTGTGTCTTTTTCTTTTCTCTTCCCCATCCTGGCAAACTGGCAAATTGGAAATTAGATAACAGACATAAAGTAATTACTGGAATATATCAGCTTCACTGAAAGTCTCATCCACTTTGCAGGCAATAGTTACATATTTCCAAAGCAACATTCAATAACATCAAAACACTAGTTTTTAAAATGTATTTATATTTTATAATTCATATGCATGAAGAGACTTTTTTTCAGGGCAAACAATGAGAGAAAAAACAAGTAAGCTATATTTGTGAGTATAGTTTAATTTTGTAAAAATGAAGAAAGATATCCAATTGTTTTAAATGTTGTATGTTCATGGACATGTAACAGAAACACAGCTATTTCATGCAGCAATCTACATGAACATAAAAAAATATCAAAATAGATTTCATTTAAAGGAAAGAACTTTTCTTTGATAATAATTAGAAGTTCCCATTATTTGTCCATGAAACCTAAGGAAGGTGCTATTTCAAACAGGACTCTAGTGGTACTTGGCACATACATTTTAACTTTTCACCCACCCACTACTGTTTACCTCTTGCATTTCACTCACTCAGGCAATCTCACATATACATACATTAATGTTAAAAACACACAAGCCTTTAAAGCTGAAAATTCATTCTAAAATACATTTTCTACAACAAAAGCAGTCACCATATTTATATCCAATGCTTCGGTCATGGAAATGGATCTTCCTCATAGAGCTATTACTTAACACACACTCCTATGTTCAACATTTCAAAAGGTGCGTCTCTAGGAGGATCTGTTTGATCATGTGCAAGAATTCTAAGGCATTATTCGTAGTTGTTCCACAGGACAAGTGCTGCCCTTGCAGTGATATATTCTTGATATATTTAACAAGTCTTTAGTCTTCAAATGCCACCAGCCAGACACAGGGAGACATTCACAGTCTACAGATGGTTGGCTCAAAGGTCAAAACTTCTTTTTAAAAAAATGTTTATGGAATAGCACCATAGGAAGTCTATCAGAAACAAATCATTTTTTTTCATCATTGCTTTTTTTTTTAGTTGAATCCCAGGAAGAGAGAGAGAAATGAACTTTCAATTCTCAGAGGGCCTACTTCCACTTCATTTTTAAAAAATACATTAACCATGACAACATCAACAATAACTACAACAATGACAGATCAACAACGAAAGAAAGATAATAGCAGCAGTAGTAACATGAATATGAACCATCTAGGCAGTCATTCAAAGAATCCTGCTCACTCACACCTCTCAGGAGTTTCCTCAGAGGGGTCCTAACATCATAGGTTTTTTGGGTTTGGTGTGAAAAGACAGCACTTCCACAGAAAGAACTGGGTTTACCAATTAACTGGGCATTTTCCAGTACTTGGATGATGTCTAGAATTTAACTGCAATAATAGACACTACTGATATTTCAAATTCATCAATATGTAAGTACGATGAAGAGTCTCCAGATCAAAGGGGTTGAGCTGGCCCGCAAGTGAAAAGAATGAAGCTGAACTATTCCAGTTTCCAAATGTCAGACATACACATACACATTTAAAGTACAAACCAGCCTCAAAGATGCCCTTCACATCACTGTATGTAGGTCTGGTTTACACTGCATCTAGCACACTAAGTCAAAGCAGGCATCCTAAGACACAAGAAAAGAGTTTTCCAGTTCATGACCTATAAGATCATTTTATGTCCCCAAATCTTGACAACTTGCCAAAAGGGACACTCTGCAGGGTCACAGCTCCTTAACTGAATTGTCTGAATTGTGACGCATCTATTTTAAGCTCTGACTGAAGCTCACAGAGTCTTCCTTGAAGTGATGCCTTTTCACCGGCTTTATTAACACTGTCAAACTTGGAGTACAAATATCCTGCGGACCAAGTTTAGCTGGAAACTTCTCTTTTAGTACAAAGATAACTCTGGTCTTGCAAGATTTTGTTGTTGTTCAAACTCTTTATACAAAACATTTGTGCCAGTATCTTCAGTTTAAAAAAAAAATATGACTTCTCTCCACTGTGCACACTTCTTTATGTTCTGGCAGGGGCTCTGATGTTATTTTTTGGTATGTGTAGTATCCGGATATCTTACGCTTTTGTATCTTATATGAAATCCTTTCTTGTTGATTGTGTCATCAGTGTGAAAATGAATTAAAACTGCATCCCCAATTGAATAGATCTCTTCTGGTGGCTGCATAGAACAAAACAAAAAAGCAAGTGAACAACAGAATGAGAGAATGAGTCACTTTTAAAAATACAATACACGTTTGGAAATATTTTTCTCTGGAATACAATTTAGTCTTCCCAACATCCTTGAAAAGTAAATATAAGCGACTTCATTTTACAGAAGAGAAAATGCGATTCAGAAAAGAAACTGACGCTAGTGGTCACATGGCTTGTTTAAGTGGCAAGGCTCTTAAGTTACATTAGTCTGTGTCTAAGTTCTGGGCACTTTCCTCTCTAGAACTTGGTGTTTTTCCCCTAAACCATTAAGCCAAGTTCTCTTGATTTATAAATAAGTGAAGTCAGATTCAGAGAGGGTAAGGAAATACTACATTTGTTTCAGGAACTGCTGTGAGGCAAAGCTACTTCCAGAATCCAAATCTTCCATTATTTCTTCTTTTAATAATCTAAGCTCCAGGAAGCTTTTTTGTTTCATTTCAGTTGCTATGTGGGCAGGAGTTCAACAATATTATTTAAGCAGTAGATACTGGTAGGCATTAGAAAAATTGGAACACAGAGCGTCAAAACAAAATATGTGTTCAGAAGACTGTTCAATATTGGTGAGAGCACCTTACGCTTTCCTTGTCCTATATATTGTGGTGACCTGTCCCCAACTCCCTGCACCTGCACATGTGACACTCTGCCAGGGAACCATGCTCCTGCAACACTGGCTGAGCCAGGCTAGCAGGGACCCTGCCACTCTCACCAGGGACATTTGCAGAGACAAGCATGTGATTTAGAATGGTGTGCATATTGTTTTTCTCCTTTATTCTTTAACTTAGAAACTTGGCGAGATTGTTAAGAAGGTGTGTCTTAACATATGCTTTTAGATCATTATTAAAACACTTGCTTTACAATAAAAATTTAAAACCCAGAAAGTGGCAGGGAATGACACCTCCCGAATTCACTTCTCCTCTGACATCATCAGGCAAACGCATTAGAAGTGGGAAGTGATGAGGGCAGAGAGACGCGCCCTGTCACGCCGTTAAATGAGCCCGGGAGTTCGAGACAAGCCTGGGCAACTTGGTGAGACCTCGTCTCTACAATAAATCAAAAAATTAGCCAGGCATGGTGGCGCACGCCTGTAGTTTCAACTACTTGGAAGGCTGAAACAGAAGGATCGTCTGAGTCCAGCAGGTCAAGACTGCAGTGGCTGTGAGTGCAATAGAGTGAGTGCGATAGAGTGAGAATCCGACTCAAAAAGAAAAGAAAAGAAAAGAAAAAATCACTGCTGTATCCCTGAGTCTAGAGGAGTTCCTGGTGACATAGTAGATGCTCAATAAATCTAAGTTGAATGAATGGGGGGGGAAGAGCCGATGGGACTCTTGTGCAGAAGCGCCGCCAGCGTGTGCCCCCCACACGCGCCATCGCAAGGCCCGGGCACCCCTTCCCACGTCGCCGGCCGGTGCTGAGCACTCACCCCGGATCCGCAGAACCGGCCGAGCCCCACGGCGGCGGCGTCCAGGCCGTCGAAGAGCTCCACGTAGTCGTAGCCGCAGTCGGCCTCCTCCTCCACCTCGAAGGTCTGGAAGGACAGCTCCAGGCGCCAGCCGCGCTCGCACACCAGCAGCCACTCGCAGTCGGCCTGCCCGGGGTAGTTGTTGTCCCCGAACTGGGCGTGCGAGTACAGGTCCCTGGGCTTGGATTCCGCCCTCCAGCGGCCGCCACACTCTGCCGGGACAGGACGCGCGAGCTCAGTGTCGCCAGGGCAGCCCGGCCGTCCCGCTCCACCCCTGCTTCCCCATAGGGCACCGGCGACCCACGGAGGGGGGAGGCCCGCTGGCCCCCCACACAGCCGGGGCCACCTCAGTCCCAGCCCCCGCTGGGGCCCCGAGCCAAGGTTCGCCCAAGGGTTGAAGCAGGTAACACCGGCTTACCCGTCTTAGACGGGTTTGAGGATTCAGCACGTGAAAATCACGTAGAACCCATCACACAGCAATTCTCAATACGTTTTAAAATTTGATTTACTTAATGCTGTTTTTAGACTCCGGTAACTCTCCGGTAACTATTTTCATGGAGAAAAAGCCAAGTTTATTACTTCCAGTTTAATCCTAACAATTTAAGGACCCAAATCCAAAGGACGAGAAATAACTTAGAAGCCAACAAAACATATAAAAGCCTGTGTGCACGTGTGTGTGACAGAGAACGTTCTATATAAAATATATAAAACAGTAGTATTTTACTTACATAGAAATATTTAACTAACTTGATTGGGGAAAACACACACGATTACTTACAATTATCTTTGTAATTTCATGACTTATCCAATTACATGTTATGTGTTGACTACAATAAAAAGTTTAAAATGCTCTCCACAGCTTGCTTTTTTAGAGAGATATGAATGAGCACATCGTCTGCCAGCTATCACCTTTGTCACTTGAGGTGAATACACCAAGGGGACAAATAATTGTGCGTCAAACCTACAGCTAGTGTAATGTAGAGAATAAAAGGTTTCAAAACATTTTCTCAGGCGTGCTATGTAGTCAGAGTCCCAAAACTTTATAATTACTAGAGATTAAGCAAGGGCCCAGGAGCCTGCAGGGCCCCCCAAACCACACACTTGCAGGCATGGTGGGGGAGATAGAATGGGACACAAGAAATGGCAGGGAAAAAGGCTTCTGTCCCTCCTTGCCCAGGACTGAAAGGGTACCTGGAAGGCAGGCGTCTCATGCCGAAATAAGGAAAGTCTCCAACATCCAGTGTGGTGAGATCTGGAGAAGTGGAAACACTGGACACAGCTGTAGCACCAGCTATGACCACCCAGTCCCTAGTGGACATGGCTAGGCAGTTGACCTTCATGGGAGTTTCAGATTTATATGTGGTTTACCCATATTGCAGTTTGGTGATTTTAAAAAGCAAGCCTATTTCTGAATGGAATTGGAACTCCATTCTGGAGCGTCAGAGCACATGTGGGTTCAGCCAAACCTAGGGATGAATGCACACCCTGAAACCTTCGTGGGACCAGGCTCCCGTCACAGGGCTGTTATGCTGTGACTCTCAATGACCCCATCCTCCACATGGTGGGTGGAGTATCTCGAACAACCTACTGATGTAGGTGCCTCAGACACAAATAGATACACGTGAGGAAACACTCGAGTCCTCAGGATTTTGTCTCCCATGTCCCAAGACTGGAAGCCTAGCATCCTCCCTCTCCCACTACAGTGCTTTACTTATCCCAGTAGCTCCAGGAATTACTGTCTAATGCCTGTGACAGAACTCCCGTCAGATCGCCAGGGCCAGGTCGAGCTCTGTTCTTCAACAACTGTGGGACTCTGTCTCACAACTACATTTCTAAAATGGGATCGTACACAGTACTTACACCACAGGGCCTAAATGAAGAGTGCACACGATAAAATATGCAAATACCCGGAAGGTACTGGCACAGCCAAAGCCATAGACATTTAAGCTACCGCTATGATTGTGATTATGATCCTGTGAGAACATCAAAATGCCATCATCTGTACTCTGGGACCCACTCAGCTATGAAATGAAAAACCAGGAAAATTGAACATTTTTTTGTTTTGTTTTGTTTTTTGAGTCAAAGTCTCAGTGTTGCCCCAAGCTGGAGTGCAGTGACGCACTCATGGTCACCTTAGCCTCTACCTGCTGGGCTCAGGTGATCCTTCTGCTTCAGCGTTCCAAGTAGCTGGAAGTACATGAGTGTGCCACCACACCCAGCTAATTTTTTTTTATTTATTGTAGAGACAAGGTTTCTCCATGTTGCCCAGGCTGGTCTCGAACCCGAGGGCTCAGGCAATCCTCTCGCCTCTGCCTCCCAAAGTGCTGGGATTACAGATGTCAGCCACTGCACCCGGCTTGAACAACAATTTAAAGCACTATTAATCTGCTGTCAGAAAGAAAAACCATATTTTTTTTTTTTTTGAGTTGGAGTCTTATTCTGTCGCCCAGACTGGAGTGCAGTGGCTGCTCCCGGCCACCGCAGCCTCGACCTGCTGGGCTCTGGTGATCCTTCCGCCTCAGTCTTCCAAGTAGCTGGAACCACAGGCGTGCGCTACCACGCACGGCTAATTTTTGACTTATTGTAGAGTTGAGGTCTTGCCAAGTTGCCCAGGTGCGTCTCGAACCCACGGGGTCTTGAACCTGCGGGCTCAGGCAATCCACTCACCTCATCCTTCGAAGGCGCGGGATTACAGGCTGAGCCACTGAGCCTGGCTGAAAAACTGTATTTTTGAAGGCTAGTAAAATATGCTGAGAAAACACTTCTTAATTCAGTGGATAAATATGTAAACTGGTGTATTTACCATAAGATATGTGTAAACCATCTTACTTACAGGTTTTTGAAAATTGTACTTATTTTCAAAGTTTGAGAATTGACTCATTTATTTTGTTTTCAGTGCTGACGGGGTGGACCAGAAAGGGAGAGGAGGCACTGCCTTGTGCACCAGCCTTGCAGGTGCAAGAAGGGGAACGAAGAGCCAGATCCAGAGGGCGCTCCAGCTCCAACAAGAACCAAGGAGGTACTGAAGTAGTTAAACAGACTTCAGGGTGGCTTTGGGAACCTGAGAATCTCAGAAAGGTGATTTCATTAAAAGCATCTAGAAAAATGGCCTATATTTAACAACAAATGCCCTAAACTGCTGCATCTCTGTTTTAGTGCACACCTCATTCCTATGGCTCACTGCTAAGACTAATCAATCTGGAATTACTGTTTTAAGCATGAACAAATATGGCATGAAAGAGCTTAGTCCAGAATGTGAATTTTCTTATGGTTGAACATTTCAATATTGTATGCGCAAGAAGTGTTACTCTAATATGCCCCAGGAGAAGATCCAGGGGCTTAAAAGCCCAGGCAGCCTGAGCACCACTGCACAGAACTCCAGAGCCTCCTGGCCACTCCGAAGATGGTCGGTAGGCCATTGGACAGGTCAGTGTAAACACTGACTTTTAAAAAGGTAGAAACATTTCCAGCAATTATTTCCTATTCATTTGCCAAGTCAGAAAAATATAAGACCAGCTTTTTAGTATGTCGGCAATACCATTTAAAATCAATTGTTTGAAAGTACTTTACAGCTGCTGTCTCCTATAGAATTCTGGAAAATAGAAAATGAAACTGAAAAAGGCAGTTAGGGAATAAGAAGGGAAGGGAAGCCTGGGGTAGTCTTCATCTTAATTTGGAAAGACATATTTATTTATTTCCTGTAATGTATTGAATTCCAGAAGAGGGCCTGTAATTTGACCTATAAATGCTTTTAGTGGGCATGCTAATTTAATTGATTTAGATCAAAATCATTTCCTCTCTAAGAAGTTTGATAATATATGATTGGATTTTCAAATGTCATTGGCAAATAGTATGATGCTTTATACAACAGAAGTCCTGAGAGACAATGCCGTGTTTGCATAAATTACTTTCTCTCCATTTCTCCCCGCTTTCTGCTCTATAGCCATATCCTCTGAAAGAGACACGGGATTTTTTTCTTTTTACTAAAATATTTTTTCCTTCAATGAGCTTAATTAAGTCTGAAGTAATATCATTTGTTACCTGATGAAAATAAACTTGGTCTTAGAATTCGGAGCAACTGTCAGAAGATAAAAAGGGTTCTCTCCAACAAAGCACATTTCCCGAGGACATGGACAGTCTTAATGCTTGTAGCTATAAAACTATGTGACAGCAATATTTCTTACCAACTGGTTTTAAAACTCACAGTGTTAGAAACTTTTTTATGGATAAAATTAAAATTGTGTACAAATATATGAATTTACTTAAGCAAATTGAAATGCACACTTGAGGACCTGTCAGAAACATATTCTACAAGACAGTAAATAATGAATAAATGCTTTCTGCATGCAGCAAAGATTGACAGATGTGGCACTGGACTTGGCTGTTGGCAGAAACTGAAAGATAAGCTGAAAATCAGTTGAACTTATCAGACTGTATGCTGTCAACAGGTAGGAATTGCTTCTACTGTCCTGCAGATTCCTACACATGCATGCTGCTTAATGCCAAAGAAAGTACATACCAAATAAACTCTAATGGAAGACTGTGGAGTGAATGACCCGATTAAAGAGAACGCTTCGAGGAGAAATGACAGCAGAGAGTACATACAAATATTTCAGCACGTATGATGACTAGAAAGTAACCGTATAAAAGAAATCTTTCCAGAAAATTCCAAGATAGCTGTATAAATGAGAACAAAAAAGGAAAAAACAAACAAACAAACACAAGCACATGATGTCAAAAATGATGACAACAGCACATGAGCAGGAGTTGGGAAACCAGGACTCCAATTTCAACTGTCCCTAACTTTGTGTGCTGTTTCAGTTGCCATTTGAATTTTCAGCCTCAGATTCCTCATTGCTGAAATAAAAGGGCTGGAATAAATGGTATTCAAGGCACGTTTTGCCTAACAAAATGGGATAGGAGTTGCCCACATGGGTGTTTGAATGGATATGAACTGAACAGGGAAATAAATGAGCTTAGTCCATTATATATTTTGAACAGAGGATTTGCTTAAAACTTAGGGAAGTGTTCGATGTTTATCTATTCCCTCAAATACTAATGATACAGTTTTCTTCTTAATCCAAAAGTTTTACATTGAGAAAATATGCCACAGAGGAAAGCACTTTGGAGATGTCAGAATTAGGATAAAATCCAGGCTTTGATACTCTTTTTAAAACTTTTGAAAATTAATTAATCATCCAGATTTTCAGTGAAGATCTTAAGACCTATATCATATAGCTTTTTGAAACATTCAGTGTATGTAATACACATACACACATATCTATACCAGGGTGCCAAAAACATATATACACATTTTAAGAGATGTTATCTATGTATTACTTTTCAAAGTTACATTGAATTATGGTAGCAATGTGTAGTATGACATTCACTCAAAAGATGGCATTAATCAAATGAATGCTACTGTCACTATGCAACAGACAGGACAGTTAAATAAAATGGCAGAAGAACGGTTGTCGTTTGAAGAGCATAAGACCATTTTGAAGTGGTAACTGAAATTCTAGAATGTTCTGGAAGTGCAACAACAATGAAGGCATGAGGATGCAACAGAATCTCCAAAACACCTAACAATGGCACGTATTCATAATAAGTTTAAGATGCATGGTACTGTGTGCAATGTGCACCAGGGAAGGTCCAGGAGGTCTTGCACAGTAACAAATCCTGCATTAATTCGCCATAATTAGCAATATCTGGACACTGATGAACACTTCTTTGTAACTGCAGATTTACAAAGAGCACTTCTTGTAATTGAAAAAGTCATTGTGACTGGTATTAATCTTTTGTTATCAGTATATAGTATTGCAATTTTATTACATTTTTTTCTTTCTCAAAATGTGTTTTCTGGGGGGGCACCCACTGTATACACACACACAAATACACAAACACACACACACACACACACACGCACACAGAAATATATCTATACCACTGGATCTCAATGCATGACCAATATTATAATTAGACTCTATCAATGGAATCTCAATCGTAATATAAAAACACTACACATGGGGTACATGGGAAAATCATGCAAATTATGGAGTCCTAGAGTTTTACAAGTGTAAGGAACCTTGAAATTATTATTTTACAGATGAGAAAAACTGAGATCCAAAGAAATTATCTTTTCCTAAGTTTCCCTCTAGGTAAAGGCATACTTCAATCAGCAACCTACATGTGCCAACACTGGATCATAATATAACTTCAGTCCCCCCATGTAGAAAGGGTAAAAACAGCTAGTATAAAAGTAAGTTTTTATAGAACTAAAAAAGAAAAATATTATAAATAGATCATTTAAAATACTATTACCAATCATTTTAAGAGTTTTAACAATGTAATAGTTAAAACTCTGAATTTCAAAGCAAAGTTAAAGAAAAATGAAACAAAAATAATCTGCAGGAAATCATGACAAAAAAAATTTTTGTACTTTTATATTGTGTTTTCTGCGGAGAGATTTCTTCTGGAAGTGTATGAATTGGTTATGCATCAGCAGAGCCACTAGGTGTCAGTATAAGCTAAGTGACTACAGCAAATAGCTCCAATTAACTGGTCCTGTTTTTAACTGAATGAAAAAGGGAACATTCTTTAGACATTTTATGGAGAATATAATTAAAATGGCTCCAAATTATAAACAATCTTATTCTATATTTTTGTCTAAAACTTTTCATATTTTCCTAAATTAAGTTTTTGTTTTTAAAAGATTCCCAGAACAGCTGAAATCTGTAATAGTCAAATTATAGATTAGGATTAGGGAAAAAATTGTATTGCATACCAAATAAAAGAGAGGGAGAAAAATGAGGCTCTGTCAAAAGAGATAAATTCCAAACTTATTTATGAAAATCTATAAGTGCAAAAGCTATCTAACCAAGTAGGTTGTTAGCTAAAACATAAGTTTTTAATACCAAGCTATAAACTGCTACAGTTAATACAAACTACATCATAAAGTATTTAGGGGTAGCGCTTTTTGATTATATTGCAGTGATCACAAATCAGCCTAAAACTACTGGGTTTTTCCTACATGTTTAACAACTGTAGACATTCAGGTAGAATTTCCTGTAGTTCTGCAGACCACAGGACTCACAGACGTCAGTGCTTCAGTGACATTTTTCTGCTGTGCTTGAAGATTTGTTTACAATCCTGTTGCAGAACCAAATACAGGCATTCACCAGAAGAGGGACCTGGATATTAGGAAAGAGAAGCATGATGCTAGTTTGCTGACCTGTGGAATGTGTGGCTTGAAAGCCTTTTCTTTGAACAGATGCATCAGAAACAAACCGAACAAACATTTTATTTCCAGTAGCCACAAGAGGATCTGGTATCTTGTTGCCACATAGTCGTCCAAGAATTGGTGACTTTTCTGTCTCTCCATCAAATACTTCTAAGTGATCATAAGCACATTCTTGATGCTGCTCAATCTCAAACTCACTAAAGGCCTATTTAAAAAAAAGAAAAGGAAAAAAGTTTAAGAAACACAAGTCACTCACCATGGGTTTTTTTTGGAACAGAAATACATATCAATAAAATATGTTCAGAACACACAAGCTATTTAATCTATATAGTACATTACTTAGAGGTGTGAGAAATCAATAGAATAGTGTAATCTCTTAAAAAAAACAATGTAACAGCTGCATGTGAAAATCTGCTATTTGGCTATTGCAACCAATTGTACTATTGCAACTATATCTCAAAATTAAAGCAGATTATAATAAAAAGAATGGCATTTTACTCTGAATTTAATCCAAAGGATTATCAGAAAATTTCAATAATCTGAAAAGATCGATTTTTTTTCCTTTTGATCATTACTATTTGATTATTGAGTTTCTTGGACAGTTTAGTATGCTTTGCTGTTATTTATGCCATTTGGAAATCATTCTAATTCACCTGTGTGGCAATCTTTTTGTGTGGTTCTTAGCAAATTTAAAACAAAAATTCATTAAATGTGTTACACATTTATGATCACGAAGAAAAGCTTAATTGAGATTATCTGAAAATAATATTTTATAAACTATTAATAATTCCAGAAAGTAAAAGGGATTTGCCATTTCATTTAAGGGTCTTTCATTTCCCAGAAAAACTATCACACATTGAAGAAACAAACAATCACTCTTACTTATCTCTATAGAACAAAATTAAACACGTATAAAGAAATCTGAAATATGCTTCCAATTACATTATGTTGCACAATTCCTACACATAAAATATGTGCACATAAACTTTTTCCATACATGTTTTCCTTGGTGCAATTTTGTTAAGTGATAATTCTCGGTTTAACTGAAGACATACCAAAAATAACTAAGAATGGTTCTCTCTCGTGTGGACCCACTGTCACCCCATAACACACCATGCCACCTACCAACATGTCTAACTCTGGAGGAGTGAAGACAGAAATGAAAGGAACACTTCATATTAACTAGGGAGTAGGAGAAAGGAATGAAATCACTGAACAGAAGAAACAAAGAAAAGAAAAGGCTGATCTCGCTCATGTATCTTTCCACTGCACCCTACTTAAAGACCAGAAATAAAAATGTTATAATCAGGAAGTATTAGAGTAATTATTTGTTATAATCATCATGAGTGAAAAGGGACATTCTACCAAAGACACTGGATAGTACAAAAACAACTGAACACAGCACCACAAAGAATCTTGCCAGAAACAAAAGGCAGGGTAGGGAAGTACAGTGAACAAGGACACTCTGGCAGAGTTTATTGTTCCTGAAGCACAACATGCAAAACAGGTGGTCACTGATCACAGCAGGTGTTGCTTGTTAACCTCTGAAGTCCAGTGGAGTCGACAGATTGCATGGGACGCAGAGGCTCTGAATGAATAGCTGGCTGTCTGGATAAATCTGTCAATACATTTAACTACCCACCTAGCTCATATTCATGGCTACCTGCAAGTATAAACTCAAGATCACGGCCAATTGTGAGTATGAACTCAGGTTCATGGCTACCTGCAAGTATGAACTCAAGTTCTTGTCAGCCAGGGTATGAATGAAAATGCTATGGATGGGGTGGACCAAAACTTCTTGTTCTCTGCTTCTCATGAGATGGGAGTCAACTTCTATCACCACTGTGTACACACACACATTCCTGACATAAGTTTGTAAAATTGATAGGAAACCACTAGGAGAATGCTGGCTTAACTGCACCCAGAATTCCTTATGAAATAGAAAACCAAGCTTCTGAATTATATGAATAATGTTATTTCAACAGAAAAACATTGGCACAGGAAAATAATATCTGAAAACCACTGCCTGTCAAGTAATTATCTCTGATTGTGATTTACAGTCATTCATCTATAAACAAAAAGAGCAGGAAAACCTACTGTGTAGAAGAGAAAAGTGTAAGAAAGATGGGGTAATGGTGTTCTAAAGTAATTCGTAAAAACAGGACCAGAATTTACAGACCACACATGTTTAATCTGTTGATCAGTCCATTGAAAACTAAGTGAATGCGATAAATACTATTTCACTTCCTAATGAAATGCAGGCATACATCATAACATCTGTTTAACAGAATGGGGCAACACCACACAAAGTGGCATTGAGCTGGTGGGCCGGGCCCATGCTGACACCTGGTCTGGAGCCAACTGGCTGCAGCTCTTTATCAAATTACTAATGGAATCAAGCCGAGGCTGTATGAGTCAAATTAGTCCAAGGTCCTGCAGCTGACATGTGCTCAAGTGATGCAAACCACCCTCATTCATTATGGCATTAATGAATTTTCCACTTGGAACAGGTAGCAGCTTGTTAGGCCGGCTACAAAGATTGGGTGGTCCTTTTTCAGAAACCAGCCTGACCTCAGAGCTCCATCACACACAGGCAAAGGCGTGGCCAGCTCACGGGCTGAGATCCCAGGAGGCAGGCCCTGACACCGTAGAGATACCCACACAGAGGAACCCCCATCCAGAATTACTTACGTTGGCAGAAAATACTTTTAGGTCACAGAAAGGTAATATAGGAGCCCCTGGGACATTGGAATACTTTACAAATATTTTTAGGGGTTCCCAAGGATAAAGTGTGATGTACCAATTATTACTTTCTTCTGTGACACAAGTTGGCCATGCGACTCCACATCTAAATGATACAGGATGTGAAGACAGCCCACCACCAGGAGCCAGTGTCAGAAAAATGTCCCCTGAAGATACTGAGATTCCCCAAAAGTCCTTCAAGTCACAACAGTGACAGGACAGGTTAATGTGTGAAGCTGTAAGGAACTCTAATTTCTGCTAAAAGACTGCCTTCGTTTTCCTGACTTAAATATTTTCTTAAGCACTGAGACTTCATAAGCATTTTGGCACAAAGGAATTTAAAGCATACTCATTCCATGATTATACTTCTATGACTTTAGATTTACAAATAGGTTTTAGAAAGCAAAAAAAGTGAATAAGCATGAGCTCTAGTAAAAAATCCTAATGCCTTTCCACAAGACAAGCTCAGAGATTAAGGACTCCAACACAAAAGAAATAAAATTGAGCTCTCATTATAGGCTGTGGAAATAATAACTATGTTACTGGAATATCCAAGCAAGCCTAAACTACCTGGCTGGCCACTGGCCAGGCCCCATATGTTGTTCCCTCAGATGAACATCTGTAGAGATACTTTTATGAAAAATACAGGCCTAGGCCAAAGGATAAGGCCGTGCTGGGAAACTACATATATTTACAAAAGACTTGATGATAAAATGATAGCACTTAATGCAGAAATAGCATGTAGCTAGGGTGAACATTTAAACTCGGAGAATTAAGGAGACATGCAGGGTGAGCAGCTGTGAGATAAGCTTTAGCATTGCCTGTCCCAGGCATCTTCCACATTTTCCTCTTTTGGTAAGAGCTATGGTTTCCCACAAGAACTTGAGGGACTAGAAGCCACTGAAAGAAAATGGCAGAATGGAATACAAACCCCCATCTTCTGAGGCAAAAGGCCCTTTCTCTTCCTGAGTCCTCTATAACCGTGATCAACTATTATCTTAAGAATGCACAATGGATAATCATATAACAACTGCAGATGCTTGATTTTTTGTTTTCTGTATATTCCACATATGAAACTGTATATTACAACTGTATGTAACTTAGCAAAACTTGAATATATGATACATCAAATAAAAATAACATAAGCACATTAGCCAATTATAGTAGGCACCTATGCCCAAAACTTTATTTTTGTTTGTTTGTATTTTGTTTGGCTTGTTTTGAATCAACATTAATTCAAAATATGAAAACGATACCAAAAAATTAATAATCAGTTGAGTTTCTCAGAACCAAGACAAAATTAAGCCAGGAATAATACATACTTGTTCTATTCATTCAGAACTTTATCTTTTTTCTAGCAAAAAGACTTTTCTCTCAAGCATCTTTTGATTATGATTTCTCTGTACTTTAAAGTTATAATCATGCAGTCAGCATCTCATGATCAAATGCACACACACACACACACACACACACACACACACACACACACACACACACACAATAAAATCAAAGGAAATGTACTTGTTTCCTATTGCTGCTGCAGTAAATCACCAAAAATGCAAGGGCTTTATTCTCCGACAGCTGTGGAGGTCAGCAGTCTAACATGGATAGGTACGGCTGTGTTGTTTCTAGAGGTCCTGGATAAGTACTGCTTCCTTGCATTTTTCCAGCCTCTAGCGTTGCCAGCATTTCTTAGTTCACATCCCATTCCTCCAAAGTCAAAATCAGTAATGTGGTCTTCTCTCCTTTCTGACCTCCTGCCTCCCTCTTGCAAAGGCCCACCCAGACCATCCCAAGTAACCACTCCACCCAAGATCACCATATCTGAAAACTCCTCTTGCCATGAAGGGTAATGCACTCACAGGTTTTGAGGATAAGTGCATGGACGTCTTTGGGGAGACTTTATTTTGTCTTCCACAGAGAGGAAGGGCTTAATGTTTTCACATGTGATTTTGATGGAAAATGAGCCAAACATTTATGAATCTGTGATTTCAAACCCCTTTTCCCTGACCCTCTTAGCTCTAGGGACAAGAAACTATATTTCACAGGACAAATCTGGCCTACAGCCTGTTTTAGGAATAAAACGTTTAATGGAACACAGTAAAGTCCATTCACGTGTGCATTATCTGCAACTGCTTCCACACTGAAATGACAGAAGTATGTTGCTGCGACACATACTGTAGCATTCACCAGGTGTGTAAGACTTCCTATCCTGCTCTTTAAAGAAAAAATTTTCTGTAATCATTAGATACATTTTTTAATTATTAGGATTGCATTTCTTTTCTCTTTTTTTAGGATTGCATTTCAAACTCATAATGCTATGCAAAAACTCCCATTGACAATGGTTAATAATTCAATAAAATGGTATGTGATTTGTATTATCATCATTATTATTACTATTTGGATATTAAATATCAACATTTATTGGCATTTAATAAGGTCCTATGCCACACACACACACAC